TGAAAACACCTGGTCCACACCCCCTCCTTTCCAAAGCCTTCTTTTTACTGCTATCCTATTCTCCATCTTACCTAATTCTTTCAATAATAACTCTACCATACACTTTACCAGGTATACTCAGCAGACTTATCCCCCTATAATTTTTGCACTCTCTTTTATCCCCTTTGCCTTTATACAAAGGAACTATGCATGCTCTCTGCCAATCCCTAGGTACCTTACCCTCTTTCATACATTTATTAAATAATTGCACCAACTACTCCAAAACTATATCCCCACCTGCTTTTAACATTTCTATCTTTATCCCATCAATCCCGGCTGCCTTACCCCCTTTCATTTTACCTACTGCCTCACGAACTTCACCCATACTCACAACTGGCTCTTCCTCACTCCTACAAGATGTTATTCCTCCTTGTCTATACATGAAATCACAGCTTCCCTATCTTCATCAACATTTAACAATTCCTCAAAATATTCCCTCCATCTTCCCAATACCTCTAACTCTCTATTTAATAACTCTCCTCTCCTATTTTTAACTGACAAATCCATTTATTCTCTAGGCTTTCTTAACTTGTTAATCTCACTCCAAAACTTTTTCTTATTTTCAACAAAATTTGTTGATAACATCTCACCCACTCTCACATTTGCTCTCTTTTTACATTGCTTCACCACTCTCTTAACCTCTCTCTTTTTCTCCATATACTCTTCCCTCCTTGCATCACTTCTACTTTGTAAAAACTTCTCATATGATAACTTTTTCTCCCTTACTACTTACTACTAGCAGTAATAATATTACTAATAATATGGGAGGTTGATTGTATTTTTTAAAGTATAGTGTTTTAGGGAGAGTGAGGTAACAAGCTAACATGGAGTGAGGTGACTGTGAGGGCAAGTGAGGTAAACAGTTGTAACAACACCATCATCATCACCATAGTAATGTTTCCTCAGTGTAATACAGTATATGTCATGTAAATTTGTATACCACAAACTTTATACCTTTGCAACTTGAGTTGACCAGTTGAACTTCCATCGCAACTAGTACATTGTAACTGAATACCAGTGTTGATTAACGATTTAACAGTTAAGAATATAAGAATGAAGGAGCACTGTAGCATAATATACTGTGTATTTTTGCTGTGTTATAGTAATAATAACAATAATAATAATAATAATTTTATTCCAGCATGATAGTGCTTGTACAGAGATGGGTAACACTTAGGCATACCGGAAGCGCATGTGTGTTGTTTTTTTTTTTTTTGTGTATGTTTTGATGCATATCTTTTGATAGAGGAAGTGGAAAAAAAATCCTTCCTTAAGCTATGCGCGTCATAAGAAGCGACTTAAATGTCAAAAGTAAGGTGCAAGTAACCCCTTCTGTATGAATTACTACATGTAAAAAGAAAAACCTAACTTTTTCTTTTTTTTAGGTCACCCCTGCCTTGGTGGGAGATGGCCGGTGTGTTGGGAATAAATGAATTGGAAGCAAACTCACCTTAGATCAAAGTTGATTCCCTGCCATTCTTTATGTACAGAAGGCGAGGCATCACCCAGTGCATTGCTCCGAGACACCACCGGTGGCTATTTGTCCTCAGTGGCAGAGCTGCGGGCACCATCCCCAGAAGCAGCAGCTCATTATCTTGACGTGGCTGTTGCTGCACGGGCCTCACACAGTCGCAGCCAACCACAGTCAACACAACAGGCTCCTCCTCTCCCGGGATCTGCAACATTGCTTTACACGCTTCATATCTACCAGTATGCTGTCGATAAGTCTGGCAAAGGAGGAGGCAAGTGGAGTTTCCTAATGCATTTCCTGATACATTCTTGCATAATGAATTTAGCATTTCTGACTTCATAACTGGTTGAAAATCACAATTATATAAATTTCAGTATGGAGTAATAAACCCAATTCTGTTAGATAACTATGTAATTTAAAAGTTTTGGTGATTATAATTATATAATTATACCTTCAGTTGCAACTACTACCAACAGGCTCTGAAAATGTGGAAAAAGTATCTTAAATTAATATGTCAATATATTTATTCTTCTTACAGTTGTTGGAGGACGTAGTCGCCTCCATATGATTGACATGGGTGACTTGAGTGGCAGCAATGGCGGTATGTCATTATCAGCACTGACATCAGTTTTACTAGCAATTTTCAATGGACAGCGATACCTCCCTAACAGAGAAAGCAAGCTAACCATGTTGTTAAAAGAAGCCTTAGGGTCAGTAACATGTCACGCTGCAATGGTAGTTCACATCTCCCCATCACCAAGACATGCACAGCACACATTAGCGACACTTCAGCTGGCCTCAAGAGTTCATCGCATGAGACGCAAAAAGTTGAGGGTCAGTAATCTTGCATCATCACCTGGAATGTAATGAGAGAGTATTGTTGCATTCCCCTGCTACCATGTTAACATTTTTGTCCTATCATATGTTTGTACTATTCTTATTAAAAACATCCATGACTGAGGTCTTACTCAGAGGCCCCTTCTTCAGCAGATGTGAGGCCAATATATACATGTGTTTTTACCTTAGTTTCAGTTTTCTGTGGGGCAAGTGGTTTGTCACTTTCCATCAGTCAGTTATTTTAACGAGACTTCAATGCAAGCATATTAGTAAAAATTTCACATGTTCCACCATTTTTTGAAATTCGTTTGGTAATCTGATTAAATAAATAACAGTAGTCATTCATTGCCCTGTCTTTGTCACGTTCATGAAATGTTAATGGTATAGGTCAAACTTAACATATAATTAAAGTAAGACTTGCAATCAAAAATAGGTGTTGAATTTTTTTATCAGCTGCTAATTATAAATTTGAAATTGTTGATTACTGAATGTTTATATTTTTAATTTAAAAGTTTCACATTCACTAAAAATTTTTATCAAATGAGACGTGTTCAGAAAAGCTTATAAATTGACTTTAAGTGTTCCCATTGTTATAATGTAATGTTTAAGGTGTAGTTTATTATCATTGATTACCCTTTCCAAGACTTAGACAATAAATGACACATTTTTATAAGGACTGTAATTTGAATTGAAATAATGTATTACAGTATATATGTAATGATAATTGACAGTGGAAAATATTTTTCTTAAGTCTTATTAGCCTATAGTACCACATTACAGCCTTTAATATTGAATATGCTGATAAAATTACAGAAATATAAATTCAAGGATTAGCATATAACTTTGTTACTTTAATGCCAGTGAGGGTCTTTTGACCCAGGGGGACATTGACCTGTACCACCCCTTCCTTGGATTGGACCTGATTGCTTCCCATTCACTGTAAGACCCCTATGGGTTTAGCACCTCCCCCTGATAATAATCTAATGAAATTTTAAGAAAAACTTTTCCCAGATGATGATAGTATTACCTCATTTTTATTTTAGGGTCTTGGAGGTTCCAGTTCTGGCGGCAGTTCAGAGGGTTCTCATGGCAAGTCCTCAGGTGGAGACACTTCTGCTGGATCCTCATCCATGGACTTTTCCTCTTCAGAACAATCTTGTGATACAGTAATATACATTGGTGGTGGTGGACCGGGTGATACAACTGATAATGAACATCCTCCAGTATTTATGCCACATCACACAAACCAGCAGTTATGGCCAATTACTCGACTTAGATCAATGGAACAATTAAGGACTCATTCAGCATCTCCAACACCTGTACACACTCGTCGAGCAGCCTCTGCCAGCCCAACACCCACTTCACGTTCTGTACCTAATGGACGGTCACAGCTTAAGCCTAGACCACCTCCACGAACAGTTAGTAGTGCCAATAGTCATAGTCAATCCAGTGCGGGGAAGACGTCTCCTGGAGGGGGCTTTATACGCCATCAACCAGGTGTGAGCCATGTTGCATATAACACCACTGCTGGACAGCAGCCTCTCTTGTCCTCTTTTAAGCCTCAGGTCACCCTGGGTCCCTTAGTGCCTGGTGATCTCAGGCATTTTAACTATAATGCATATGAGGAACCAAATAATTTGGTTCCGGTATTCCAGCGATCTCGTCTTCCTCTCTCAACTCAACAACTACAAATTCAGAAACAACTTGAACAGCAACAGCAACAGCAGCAGCAGCAGCAGCAGCAGCAGCAGCAGCAGCACAAAGTTCAACAACTTCAGCAGCAACAGCAACAGCAGTTTCAGCAACATCAAAAACTTCAGCTCCAACAGCAGTTTCAACAACAGCAACCACAGAATATGCAACAGCAGCAGCTTCAACAACAGTTTCAGCAGTTCCAGCATCAAAAGCAGCTTCAGAATCAACAACAGCAGCAGCAGCAGCAGCAGCAGCAGGCAGCAACAGCAGCAGCAGCAACAGCAACAGCAGCCACTTCAGCAGTCACAGCAAGGACGCCTTAATGTAAAAGGAACAAGTGATGCATTAGTGTCTGATGAGCAGTGGATTGATGGACCACGCATGCATAAGTCTCGTGTTACCGCAGCACAGAAAATTAAAACAAACAAATCAGAAACATGGGTGGATGGGCCTCAGGTAACACCCATTGGTTATGGTTTCATGGATGACCACAAGAAAACCATGATTGAGCGGTGGGTAGCAGTGCAAACAGCTCAAGTTGTACAACAACTTGAGCAGCAGCAAACTGTTCCAGCTCAGATGCCAAACCAAACATCCATCAACCAGCAGCAGTTTACTCACCTTACTCAGTTCCGAACCTGTGAAGAGTCTACATTGGACAGTGATCAAGATACCTTAAGTGAAGATCCCCCGTCTGGTCCAGGCAGACCAACTAGTCTAGATGCTGCCCTGCCTCCACAGCCTAGCCTGATTGAGGAGTTGGAGCGCAAAAACCTCATACCAACAGAAAACTCGGAAGCCGACAAGCCTGACACAGCTCCAGAGACAGAGACAGAGGTCTCGCTAAAAGAACCTACCTTGGATGAGAAGAGCACTGAGCCCAACTGCTCTCCAGATGAGGCATCAGGAGCTGATGAACCATCCATAGATGATATTTGTTCACAATGTGAAGCTTTGGCAGAAGAATGTGAAGAGTTGAGTTCTCTGCTATCATGTGAAGAGGAGGAGTGCAAGAGACAAGCACATTTGGGCCTTGGTAAGTTAGGATTTTCGTATCACACAGTCAAATTCCCCAAATTGTGGAGTCATGTACCTGGACATTGCATGACCTGAAAATCAGTGTAGATAAATTTGTTCTAAAATTTTATTGGAGAGTTCAGAATCCATATATCATTAAGCCTTAAACTGTCCAAACAGATCTACGTTCACATGCGTAGTCCTCCAAAAGTAGATCTACTTTTTTCACATATTTTCAAAAATAACAAAAAAAAAAAAGTTGATGATTTTTTTTTTACACGTTTTCAAATGTAAAAAAAAAAAAAAAAAAAAAAAAGTACGTTTTTTACATACTTTCAAATGTTGAAAGAACGTAGATCTACGTTTGGACAGTTTAAGGGTTAAATACCACAATTTTTTTTTTTTTTTTTTTTTTTAACAAGTCCGCCATCTCCCACTGAGGCAGGGTAACCCAAAAAGAGAGAAAATCCCCGAAAAGAAAATACTTTCATCATCATTCAACACTTTCACCTCACTCACACATAATCACTGTTTTTACAGAGGTGCTCAGAATGACTCACAAAATCGTAGTAACACGATTGCAAACAAACCATACCACGGGTGGGGATAGAACCCGCGATCTGAGAGTCTCAAAACTCCAGACCGTCGCGTTAGCAACTGGACTAGCTAGCCACGTAAGATTCACCCAACTAGGTATATTTCTACACCATAGGAAAGTTAGCACAGGCACCACTGTGACCACAAATGCAAGTTTTTACAGACGAATCTCCAGCTAGCGTGGCCGTGACGAACTCTAGCTCAAGTCCCCTCAAAGCCATTAACATGATTTGAGACTCTCAGATTGCGGGTTCTATCCCCGCCCGTGGTATGGTTTGTTTGCAATCGTGTCATTACGATTTCGTGAGTCATGTTAACGGCTTTGAGGGGACTTGAGCTAGAGTTCGTCATGGCCATGCTAGCTGGAGATTCGTCTGTAAAAACTTGGATTTGTGGTGCCTGTGCTAACTTTCCTATGGCGTTGTAGAAATATACCTAGTTGGGCGAATCTTATGTGGCTAGCTGGTCCAGTGGCTAATGCGACGGTCTGGAGTTTTGAGACTCTGAGATCGCGGGTTCTATCCCCACCTGTGGTATGGTTTGTGCTCAGAATACAACAATTTAGAAGCATATACGTATAAAGACACACAACATATCCCTCCAAACTGCCAATATCCCGAACCCCTCCTTTAACCCTTTGACTGTCGCAACCCCTAATCCTGAGGTGTCTCCTGGTGTTGCAAAATTTAAAAAAAAAAAATTATTTTTCTTATGAAATTATAGAGAATCTTTCCCCGATTGTAATGACACCAAAAAAAAACAAAATTTGATGGAAAACTGACGGAATTATGCTCTCGCGAAGTTAGCGACCTCGGCGCTGTTTGCAAATCGGCGATTTTGCCCACTTTGAGCCCAATTTTCGGCTAATTCCATTGTTCCAGTCGCCCAAACTCATAGCTATTTCTTTAGAACTCCATTTGTTCTATCGATTGAGTACAAGAAACTGCCCATTTACCGATTTCAACTACCTAATAATGTGGTCAGAAATTTGCAATTTGGCCAATTTCACGAAAACTAAAAAAATATGACAATTTCAAAATAAGGTCCAGAATGAACAATGCAGACATTCCTGGCTCTAAAATAACATTTTCTTTGCTCATCAGTCATGTCTCCAGGCCCCTCTGATATTACTCTTGCTTTCTATTTTGAATTTTTATTCAAACAAAAAATAGAAGACTTACTATTATGCAGACTACTGCAATACTGTAATAATTGTATAAATAACATCAATCCATTCATGACTGCATATTAGAATGGCTAGTTGGACATTTATTGGACAATGGCATCATTTGTTTACTTTTGAACATTGGCAAAAATCAAACATTTCCCCTACTTTGAGGTCCATTTCTAGGTTCTTTTTATAGTAAAATCAATTAAAATCACCTCTATTTCTATAATATGTTTTCCATTGTATCAAATGAGACTAAGAAAACGAGAATACAACCATAAATACTATACGAAAATAGACCACAAAGTCCGCATTTTAATTAAAAAAACGGTCGGAGTCTTTTTTTCCTCATTATGCACTGCGTGCTCCAGGATTTTTTTTATATGGTACACACTGACCACACAGACCCATTCTCTCACATGTGGGCCTACCAGCTTTCTCCTGCTTAATTTGAAGCCGTTAGAATTTATGAGTATATATACGTCAAACATGGTACCTCGTAAGACGTATATATACGGCCGCGACAGTCAAAGGGTTAAAGTGCAGGACTGAAGTCCGGCTATATAAGAATAACCGGTTTCTCTGAATCCCTTAACTAAATATTACCTTCAGATGACTGCCTAGAAGAGATTTAGGCATAGAAAAGCCATTGAGCACATTTTGAATATAGTCCTATATCTTGCCGAGTTTTGCAGCAAGACAATAGGTGTATAGTAAAAATGTGTAAATAATCAAAGATATTATTCATAGAATGTAGGTAGTAGGTTGGTAGACAGCAACCACCCAGGGAGGTACTACCGTCCTGCCAAGTGAGTGTAAAACGAAAGCCTGTAATAGTTTTACATGATGGTAGGATTGCTGGTGTCCTTTTTTCTGTCTCATAAACATGCAAGATTTCAGGTACGTCTTGCTACTTCTACTTACACTTAGGTCACACTACACATACATGTACAAGCACATATATACACACCCCTCTGGGTTTTCTTCTATTTTCTTTCTAGTTCTTATTCTTGTTTATTTCCTCTTATCTCCATGGGGAAGTGGAACAGAATTCTTCCTCCGTAAGCCATGCGTGTTGTAAGAGGCGACTAAAATGCCGGGAGCAAGGGGCTAGTAACCTCTTCTCCTGTATATATTACTAAATGTAAAAGGAGAAACTTTCGTTTTTCCTTTTGGGCCACCCCGCCTCGGTGGGATACGGCCGGTGTGTTGAAAGAAGAAGATTATTCATTGAATGTAGGTAGTAGGTTGGTAGACAGCAACCACCCAGGGAGGTACTACCGTCCTGCCAAGTGAGTGTAAAACGAAAGCCTGTAATTGTTTTACATGATGGTAGGATTTCTGGTGTCCTTTTTTCTGTCTCATAAACATGCAAGATTTCAGGTACGTCTTGCTTCTTCTACTTACACTTAGGTCACACTACACATACATGTACAAGCTTATATATACACACACCCCTCTGGGGTTTTCTGCTATTTTTTTTCTAGTTCTTATTCTTGTTTTTTTCCTCTTATCTCCATGGGGAAGTGGAACAGAATTCTTCCTCTGTAAGCCATGCGTGTTGTAGGTGACAACTAAAATGCCGGGAGCAAGGGGCTAGTAACCCCTCCTCCCGTATAAATTACTAAATTTGAAAAGAGAAACTTTGGTTTTTCTTTTTGGGCCACCCTGCCTCGGTGGGATACAGCCGGTTTGTTGAAAAAAAAAAATATTCATAGAATGTAGGTAGTAGGTTGGTAGACAGCAATCGCCCAGGGAGGTACTACCGTCCTGCCAAGTGAGTGTAAAACGGAATCCTGTAATTGTTTTACATGATGGTAGGATTGCTTGTGTCTTTTTTCTGTCTCTTAAACATGCAAGATTTCAGGTACGTCTTGCTTCTTCTACTTACACTTAGGTCACACTACACATACATGTACAAGCTTATATATACACACACCCCTCTGGGGTTTTCTGCTATTTTCTTTCTAGTTCTTATTCTTGTTTTTTTCCTCTTATCTCCATGGGGAAGTGGAACAGAATTCTTCCTCCGTAAGCCATGCGTGTTGTAAGAGGCGACTAAAATGCCGGGAGCAAGGGCCTAGTAACCCCTTCTGTATAAATTACTAAATTTGGGCCACCCTGCCTTGGTGGGATATGGCTGGTTTGTTGAAAAAAAAAATATTCATAGAAGGCACTAGAAAAAGTTGGGTAATCAAAATGTACAAGTTTGGAGTTTAACTGTTGAGTACTGTGTTACCAACTTTACATCAGTGATAGAAATTACATTTTCTTCAAAATATCTTACCTGAACTTAAAGAACTTGTATGGTATGACCTCAAGAATGTGCAGCTTTGAATTATTGTACATTTGGGCCCCAAAATTTGAATGGAAATGATTTGAATCTTGAAGCTGTGAATGATAGGGAATTTTTTGTGCAATATATAAATTATTTAAATTTTTTGTATTGCATATTTCACCAGATGAGCCTGGCCCATGGCTGTGCTCCGGGAGTAGAAAGACTCAAAACTCGTCTGTATATATTGCATTATTGTTTAATGCTGAGATTAATAAGTTACTTAAAACGTGCTCATTCTTTTCCAGTTTAGGAGTCATGCACCAAGAAAAATAAGAGCAACCAAAGCTATCCACAAAATGGCTTCTGGTAAATATGTCATATAGTTCATTCGCGTAGATTACAAGGCCTTCAAATTTTGGGGGTTTGATTGTATTTGCGAACACTTGAGCCAAACCCATTCAAGTCATGAAATGAAAAATGGTATGGTGATGTAGACATATGGAAAAAGACATGTACAGTTCAGAACATAAGTGTCATGAAGTGCTCTGGAACTTTAAAACTTTGTTCATTAGATTTTGTGATTCCTGATCTTATGTCCAGTATTTCTTTCCAAATCCAGAAGGAATGATGGTAGTTCAGAGTAACCAATCTGGCATTGGCATTGCTGAAACCATCTGTCATTATTGAAGTGCTCAGTTCTGTAGTGAGCATCTAACATCAGAACTTTGTAGATAAATGGTTCAGAGAACTGACAAGTTGATAAATTAGACACATGTGCATCACTTGCACATGTGTCTAATTTATCATCAGAGCTTTATTTAGAGTAAACTGACCATGTGTGGAGCAGAGTAAGATGAGTTGTGGGCAAAGTTAAAATGTTTATGGATCAGCAGTCAAGTTAAACAGTAGTCATTAGATATTTAAGGAAATATGGTATTGTGAAATTTAAGTGGCTCTTGCCATCTGTTCATTCAGAATCTGAAAATCTGAAATCTGGATTGGGTTTGGTCCTGAGGATTGTACTATGCTTCATAAATCAGTACAGAGTTAATAAATATTCTTTATCGCTAGGCACAACTCTAATGTGAATATTTCAAGAGATGCATACCACTTGGAAAGTCACAGTAGTACTACGTTCTTGCCCTCTGAAGGAGGGGTGTTAATGTTGCAGTTTAAAAACTGTAATGTAAAGCACCCTTCTGGCAAGACAGTGATGGAGTGAATGATGGTGAAAGTTTTTCTTTTTCGGGCCACCCTGCCTTGGTGGGAATCGGCCAGTGTGATAATAAAAATATAAAAAAAAAAATCTAATCTAAATTTTTTCTTTAAATCTTGTCATAAATTGATTATTTTCAGTATTGAGTGAATACACTTCAATTTTCTTCATTTTTTTCTTGATATTGTCATTATTATTATTATTATAATCAAAAAGAAGTGTTCAACCTGATATTGTCATAAATTGATTAATTTCAGTATTGAGTGAAGACACCTCAATTTTCCACATTTTTTCTCGATAGTTTTGTGACTCGTTTCCTCGAAGGGTTGCCAATAATGTGAAATCATTATCATTTTAAGAGAGACTTTCCTTAGCTTAAATTACAGAATTATTATTTTTCTTAAACAGCTACTGTCTTAGAGGAACCAGAGCTAGAAGCAGCCATTATAGCTGAAGATCAAGACAAAGAGGAGGAGGAGGAGGAGGATGAGACTTTGCCAGAGGCTGATGAGGTGAGCACGACTCCAAGAAGAGGCTGGGTAAGAAGATCGATGGCGTCCTCAGGAACACATCATTCCACGGAACTGATTGAAGTTCAGGTTCCAGACTATCCTGTGGTGACTGTTGACTGTTGTATACAGGTAAATCAGCAACATTGAAGCCATTATTTTTTTTTCATATTTTGATTCAAGTATAGATTCCCTTGCTTTATACTGTAGATGGGTTCCAGTTTCATGTCAGCTGTACTAAGCTTAGTTAAATCATCATTGCTTTATTTTGCATGATAAAAATACTGAAAAGAGGTTTTGATTGCCACCTTCCACAATACGTGAGTTTGATAGGATGAATTGAAAAATGGTTTAAACACCTTGGTGTACAGTAACTTTTAGGATTCGGTAAACCGAGCCGACTTGTCCAGAGGAATATGCTGCTCTGAGGGGGTGTTAATGAGTTAAAACTGTATTACATTTGCAGACGTTTATGAGTAAATGATTACATTATTTCTTTTTCGCCACCCTACTTGTAATAGGCCGGCTGTTAATAATACCATACAGAAAATTATACCAGTATTTGTACATGAATTGAAGGAAGGGGAAACCCGGATGTAACTATATTTGGTTAACTTTACTGCGGTGGTCAAAGTTATTGTATGACGCAAAAATCTTAGGAAAATGCTCTGCACTTGAAAAAAAAAAAGTGGGCACTTTGGAATCAGTTCATTACTTGCCAACAAAGATGCACCTTTCTGAGCGATGGGACTATTTAAGGCATCAGAAATGTCACCTTTTTTTTTTTTTTTTCCAACAAACCAGCCGTATCCTGCTGAGGCAGGGTGACTCAAAAAGAAAAAAAAAGTTTTTTTTCTTTTTAAATTTAGTAATTTATACAGAGAAGGGGTTACTAGCTCCTTGCTTCTAGAGGCATTTTGATCGCCTCTTATGACATGCATGGCTTATGGAGGAAGAATTCTTTTCCAATTCCCCATGGAGATAGATAAAGAACAAGAACTATTAAGAAAATGTGTAGTGGGACCTAAGTGTAAGTAGAAGTAGCAAGATGTACCCGTTATCCTGCATGTTTGAGACAGAAAAGACACCAGCAATCCTACCATCATGTAAAACAATTGCAGGTTTCCATTTTATACTCACTTGGCAGGACAGTAGTACCTCCCGGGGCAGTTGCTGTCTACCAGTCTACTACCTAGCAATTCTGTTATCTGAGTTTTTTTTTTTTACCAAATGCACTGATAGTTTGTGCATGAGCAGAGAGAGTTGTTATTATTATTGTTCATTAGGAACTGTGTATTTAAAAATTATGTTTGTTGAGGGTGATAGGTGGTAGTGTCTTAATTCTTGATCAATGGGTGAAGGCTCAAGTCACCTTACTCTACTGTACCTCTCTTCCCATTATGAAACGAGGCATGCAGAAACTGTTATGACCACTACCTTCTCAGAGATGCCTAATTCCTGGAGCATAAAAGTGAGCATATGTAAGAGAGCAGTGGTTCATGTTAAGTAGGATACAATGGAAGAGAGGGAATCACTGTTGCTGAAGCCTTAGTCCATGCAGCCATCCATCCACACTTCCCATTTACAGGAGACAGGAAATGGGAGACAGGTAAGGGAGTAGAATGGGAACTATTATTCTTTTTCTTTCTTTCTTTCAACACACCAGCCGTATCCCACCGAGGCGGGGTGGCCCAAAAGGAAAAACAAAAGTTTCTCCTTTCACATTTAGTAATATATACAGGACCGAAGGGTACTAGCCCTTGCCCTGGCATTTTAGTCGCTTTTCTAATACAACACGCATAGCTTACGGAGGAAGAAATTCTGTTCAACTGCCCATGGAGATACAAGGAAATAAAACAAGAACAAGAGCTAGTAACGAAACTAGAAAAAACAGAGGGGTGTTATACATATGCTCTGACATGTTGTCGTCTCGACCTAAGTGTAGCAGAAGTAGCAAGACGTAACTGAAAAACCTTGCATGTTGAAAATAGAAAAAACACCAGCAATCCTACATCGTTGTTAAACCAATGTAGCAGGGCTTACGTTACTACACTCACTTGGCAGGACGGTAGTACCTCCCTGAAAACTAATTATTATTATAATCAAAAAGAAGCGCTAAGCCACAAGGGCTATACAGCGCTGCAGAATGGGAACTAAAGAGGGAAAAAAGAAGAGAAAATCTCTTCTGAGTACATATTGTACATAAATTTTAATTTCAATGGAGAAGTGAAATTAGATATGGATTATTATTGGGAAACTCTGATTGTAACATCTCTGTATAGGGAAAAAAAATAGGTTCAGAGTTCTTAATTCTCACCAGATGTATTAATAATGCATGTGGGAGGAGGGGGAACGTAGTGTGTGCAGTTTTCACAAAATTCCAAATACATGTGGGCCTCCCAGCAAATTGAATGAGGAATGGTAGGTCAGCTTGCTGCTGCTGCTGCTGTTGCTGCTGATACTGTGTCCATGTGATGAATAATTTTGCACTATTTCTAAGATTTTAATTTATGAATCATCATAGGGGATGCTCTTGATAACGTTTTGATTGTTGGATTTTTTTAGGGAAATAGAAACCGCCCATGGTCCCAACCAGACAGTGAAGAGGATTTGTGAAGACTTGGCAGAAACCTAACTTTATTTCCAGGCTTTTCATTAGAATTATTATTATAATCAAGGGGGAAGCGCTAAACCCAGAGAATTATACAGCGCCTGGGGGGGGGGATGTGGAAGGCATTCAGGCTTAATTCGGGGAACTGGAGCACAGATCCAATTCCCTAAATCAAGAGCCCCTCACCAACATCAAGGAACCTTCCTTGAGGGGTTTTCATTAGAAAATATCATGAATAGCAAGGGGAAAAATGATAAATCCTCAGATTCCAAATGTTACCGTGTGTTTAGGCTAAATTTATGCTTGCGAATAATGTTTATAGTTATTTTTACATTTTTATGGAAATGCAGTATTGCACACTTTATTCTTCTTTAGTATTGTTCTCATTAAATTTCTGAAATCTTGTATTGTAAAGAAAAATATTTGAAGGGATTCATGGAAACCAGTTTGCCAGACTTGAGTCCTGGAGGTGCCTGCACTCTGAAGAAGGGGTGGGGATATTTGCAGTTGTAAACTGTAGTATCAGCATACCTCTGGCATGCTGATACTACAGTACATCAGTACATCACATCAGTACAGTATATCACTCACTACAGATGTAGTGAGTGATGGTTAAAGTTTCTTCTTTTTTTTTTTGGGTCACCCTGCCTTGGTGGGAGACAGCCAGTGTGTTAATATGAACGTATTTTTTTTAGGTATGTGAGGAAGATATCGTTAGAGCTCTGGCAGACACACCATGTCATAGCGAGGTGATGAGTGTCGAGACGAGCGATGACCATCCACTGAGAGTCTTATCTGAAGAAAATCTCACCTGTGCATCTACCTTTACTGGTAAGTCTTAAGTTGATTATGTTGTGTATGAGAAGTGTGAACGCGATTAATTGGCGAGCTGAAAGCGGGGTTTGAATTATAGAGGTCTTCGGAGGCTTCTTTACTTTATTTGAAGTGTAGTGGTGGGTACACAGGCTTGTGTGTTGTGCCCATGGCCCGGGTAGGGTAGGGCCATGCCCACGAGAGGAGAGAGCTAGTAGGCCTTCTGTCTTGCTGCTTGGCCGCTGTGAGAGTGAGTGTGTGTGGGCCCAGCGTCCCACAGACCTGGTCAGGCCCAGAGGGCAGCAATTGAGTGCCGCGAAATATGAACTAAGCTGGCAGACAGCATAGGCTGTCTGTGCAGACAGTACAGGCTGTCTACAGACGGTCAAGTTCACATGAATACAGCACTTTGTATTTGAGAAGTTTGTTTACTGTGTACAGTACTCTTATTAATATATCATAATCATGGGGAAACACAATACTTTGACAAGTTATGAGAGTTTTTATACTTCCATAAGAATTGATAGTACCTTGGGAATGAGAGGTAAACATAAATAATAGGAGTCCTTAGGTTGTTCTTCAACTCTATATAGCCTTGGTTAGGCCTCATTTAGATTTTAGTTTTGGTCACCGTATTACAGAATGGATATAAATGCACTGGAAAACATACAAAGGAGGATGACAAAGTTGATCCCATGTATCAGAAATCTTCCCTATGAGGATAGACTGAGGGACCTGAATCTGCACTCTCTAGAAAGGTGTAGAATTAGGGATGGGGGGGGGATGATTGAGGTGTATAAATGGAAGACAGGAATAAATAAAGGGGATGTAAATAACATGCTGAAAATACGTAACCTAAACAGGACTCGCAGCAGTGGTTTTAAGTTGGAAAAATTCAGATTCAGGAAAGAACTGGTTTGGTAATAGTTGTGGATGAGTGGAACAAACTCCCGAGTACAGTTATAGAGGCTAAAACGTTGTGTAGTTTAAAAAATAGGTTAGATAAATACATGAGTGGGTGAGAGTTGGACCTGATTAGCTTGTGCTACTAGGTCATTTGCTGTGTTCGGGCCTTAAGTGAATGTGACCTGACCTGACTAGGTTGGGACATTGGCTTAAGCCTTTAGGAGACTTGGACCTGCCTCGCATAGGCCAGCTGCAGTGTTCGTACTTTCTTATGTTCTTATGAAGAAAAATACAGCTCCAGTTTTGTGACTCAAGAGGAACTATGCATGCTCTCTGCCAATCCCTAGGTACCTTACCCTCTTCCATACATTTATTAAATAATAGCACCAACCACTCCAAAACTATATCCCCACCTGCTTTTAACATTTCTATCTTTATCCCATCAATCCCAGCTGCCTTATTATTGGTGGATAAAAGGTTGATGGTTAGGCTCCAGGATGTACATGTTTATAGAGGGGCAACTGATATATCGGATCATTATTTAGTTGTAGCTACAGTTAGAGTAAGAGGTAGACGGGAAAAGAGGAAGGTGGCAACAACAAGTAAGAGGGAGGTGAAAGTGTATAAACTAAGGGAGGAGGAAGTTCGGGTGAGATATAAGCGACTATTGGCAGAAAGGTGGGCTAGTGCAAAGATGAGTAGTGGGGGGGGTTGAAGAGGGTTGGAATAGTTTTAAAAATGCAGTACAGGAGGGCCCCACTTATACGGCGGGTTAGGTTCCAGGCTACCGCTGTAAAGTGGAACACCCTTTTTTTCCCACTTACAAATGCATACAAACACTAGATAACAAGTTTACACTAACATATATTATGTTAGCAATAGAACCAGGCATCAAAAAAGTACAATACACACATAGTGCACTCATTACTTACCTTAAAATATTTATAGTCTTAATCTAGGGTGAGACAAGTAGTATTTATTGTAAGAAATCAAGTGTGGTATGTATGGTAGTCAGCCAGGCTACCATACCAGGCCACCCCACCCACACATACTATTCTATGATATTTAAGCATCCCAGAGCGATAAAATGTATATACAGTTCACTCATTACTTACCTTAAAATATAGGGTGAGATGAGTAGTATTTATTGTAAAAAATCAAGTGTGGTATGTATGGTAGTCAGCCAGGCTACCATACCCAGAGAGAAAGAATGAGTGCATGAGAGAGGACAGGGCAGAGTTATGTAAACAAACCAGGCGAAGGTAAGTTTTGTAAACAGTGTACACGTCTGGTTTGTGTACAAGTTACATTGTGTACAGGTTGTCTCTACATTGATACGGTAGAAATAAATAAAGAACACTCCATTCTCATGTACATCATTTTGAGAAGAAATGATGCTCTGAGTGAAGGCAATGGAAGTCAGTCACTCTGACTTTTCTGGGTATCCTAGTTCTCTACACATATTTGTTATGTATTTTGTTGTATGTGTTTATTATAATTTTGAAAAAAATATCACTGATGGATTAATGAAAATGTGTATATTAACGTAATATACAACATTTAATGATACACCGAGCTCAGACAGCGTAAACAAACAAACTGAACAGGTTGTGGACGATCACTCGGTCAGGCGAAATAGACGGTATTAATACGTGTCCAGTTTTAGTTCATTCATGTACATTTTGTAAGAGTTTGTGAAACTTTTACCTTATAATATTTTTATTATTATTATAATAATAATTAAATCACGAAACAAATACTCTTACACTTTGTACAAGTTAGTAAAGAATTATAGCTATAAAGTGAAGGCATATGAAAGTAATATTTTTCTACAGTTATCCCTAGTAACAGGTGACGGGCTAGAGAAAACGTAATTTCCGACACTTCTACAAACTGTTTGGTAAACATCTCATATATATTTGTATAAATTTTTATACTGTGGGTGCATGTATCATGTTTGTGTGTTACATAATGTGTTTCTTATATAATTTTGAAAAAAATATCATAGATTAAGGGAAATGTCTATATTAACGTTAATATGCGACATAATGCGCCCAAGAGATTATTATTATTACTATTATTATTATTATTATTATTATTTATTATTATTGCATCAAGAGTAGAGAGACTCTTAGTGATTTTAATGTGTACCTACATGCCAGCACAGTGTGTAAGTTTATTTAGGTACAGGTGTACACAAGTTTAATTATCAAGTACAATACATATAAAATATACAATAACTTTAAAATACTTGAAATTTTGGAAAGTTTCCAGACATAATAAGGAGATGTGCTCAGGGAGAATGTAAACAAACTTGGTGGGCCGCTGTGACCGTATTAGAAAGACAGGTGGGGGGAGCCGTATAGCGAGTTTTGGTCATAATTTGAAATGTCCGTATTAGCGAAACGCCGTAAAGCTGGGCCCTGCTGTACTAGAATGTGGGGCAGAAGTTTGTTGTTATGGGAGGGTGGGGGCAGGAGGAAAGAGGAGTGATTGGTGGAATGATGAAATAAAGGTGTGATAAAAGAGAAAAA